AAATTGTCCAGTAAAATCATGAACAACCAAAAAATGCTGGGGTTGGTTCTGCAATTTCTTTTAATGGAGACACTGCTGTATTAAATCCTGATGTTGGCTGATAAAGCGGGTCTATTGTAGAACGTCGCTGGCATAACAGTCTGCCTGAAAGAAATTCTCCTGCCTCGTGCACTTTCATACCCAAGAGATACTTAAATTCTATGCCCATCTTCGTGACGGTTGGCCCCTGCCTCTCTTTCCTATTACCATTCCGTCTGCTATTATTCTTTTTAACCCACTAGGCTTGTTGTAAGGAAGTGAATTATAGACAATCAGCTGTTTAATAAAACAATAAGTGTGAGCTGCAAACCTGTGGTTTTATAGAAGAACACCCTAGACAGATAACATGTAAAGTGAATTGGTACTGAAAGATATTGCCTCACACACACAAAAAAACAATAATTACCCGTATTGAAAAGAAAGAATGTACATTATTGGGCCACACCGGGAGAGGGTCAAGGAGTATATTTTGACAGTGAGAAAGAGAGAGGAACAGTGTGGCACCGTATCATGGAGGATCATCTGTGCCAAAAATAAATGCAAGTACGCGAGACAGAAGGATGTTGACAGACGTGACTACCAACGTCACAAGTCAGGGGCTACTATCACATGAAGATTATAATCCAGCTATGTACAGTTCTATGTGTCCATGGTACGTTTTACTATAGACATTTCTAACTAATCTGTTTATTTGGTAATAAAATTTAATGTACAGAAATCATTAGTGGCTTTTACAGTGCTATCGCTATTTTAAACATCCAGGAGATTAGGCTCGAAAGCTGTATCCTGTACCGATCGTGAGGTAAAACGGCCATGTTAAACGTCATCGTTGCCTGGAAACATGGTGCTGGAGGGTACACTTTCCGGAAAACTCGAAAGAAGCGTGATCCACCGTGAAGGTGGATACAAGCCGTTGTAGATGCATTGGCTATGAAAGCACCTTGGGCTGGAGAATCGGCTAAACATAAGAGAGCTGTTCAATCGTGCTTTACGAGAGCGAATTTTATAAGGAACCTGGTAGTGGTGTTGATGATTATGATGATGATAATGATGATAGGTATATTTTATGTTAATTAAATATATATTATATAGTTTTCCAGTGACTCCCCCCCCCCCAGCTCGCTTATTGCATGCGCAGATTGTACGTTGATTTATCTGCTCACCCCCCCCCTCCCCCGCGCTTACACATGTATATTATTTTCTTCCTGATGTTTATATGTATAACATATTTTCATTGCGCATATAAATACAGTATAGCCCCAGCACACATACCTTTTCTGTCATAACTCATATACCAGTTCGAACATAAATATGATCGTTTTACGCTTGTATAAATCACTAATGGTGATTGTGGATATGGTCGACGCATTGCTATCCATTTTTAAACTGTCCCATGACAGGCCGTAAAGCTCAACTTTTGTATATACCCTTATGTGAATGACAGTGCAGTGTATTGCAATAAAATTCAGTTTACAAAAGTCTAATACAGGATTTATGAGTCCAAAGATATGAGATTTCTAATGGGCATACTTTTCCTTTTCTAATGCGAAAAGGGTTTCAAATTAAATTCTCAAAAGTGTGATAGAAATTACAGAAAAATTACTATTGTCTTGTAACCTATTTATAATATTGTTAAGGATGTCAGAATGGGCTCTTTCATAATATCCTACCCCCCCCCCCTCCCAGATGACGTCACAGAACCGTCCAACATTTTAGAGGGTGGTATGACTGGGTCTCCCGGCTTTCTAATGCTTTTAACGACCCCAAAACATCTAGAATGGTCCTAAGCCCAACCCACCTACGTCCCAGGAAAGAGTGCAGCCTAGGTACCACAACTGCATGCAGTCTAGGTCCCACCATTGCATGCAGCCTAGGTTGCCACGACTGCATGCAGCCTATCTACCACCCTCTGAAATATTAAAATATTTAGAAAGCATCTCAAAATGTTTTAAGCACGGTGCAGACGAACATGGTAACATCATAATAACAATTAAAGACTACCACCCCGCTCCCGCTACCTCTTTTTTGACATACGCCAAAGAACAGCAGCGTTCTGTTACCCGTCTACACAAATTAATCGTCGGCGAATAAAGGTTCAGTATGATAATGTAATAATGTATGTCTTTCAGTCCAACTATAATTCGTTCAACAATTGATAAACACACATGAAAGCCATTTTCTCTAAAACTGCTTCTTATATCGCTATGATTTTTTGCATGCAGCCTTAGAATACCCATGACGTTAAGGACATTTTGTTTTTGTTTTTCACTAAAGAAGAATATCATATGTATTTTTTTTGGGGGGGGGGTGGGGGTGGGGGGGCGATATATACTTTTATCATGAAACCGTCTTGGTAGACTTATGGAAGGTTTACTTTCATTAGTTTCAGGAAGTAATGCCCACTGTGACTGGTTAAACAAGGGTTCAAAGAAAACCTATGTGATTTCATGACGTTCTCGTGCAAAGTCGCACTGTTAGTGACCTGAAATTTAAAAAAAAAGACGTTGGTCGGGATGGTTTAATCAGACGTGCATTGCATCCACAAATTAGTGTCAAGGTATTATGTCATATAGCTAGCTTGTAAAAGCTGACATAGACAAATGCTTCAAAAAATATTTTAGATGCAAATTTATAACTATGCAGAAGATTACCGTTTTACTGTACTTCTTCAAGGAATCTAAGATGGGTTATTTATATTGTGATATTTATGACCCACAGAAACTAACACGTTTGGCGCTTATTCTGGTTAGATCATCATTTAACCGTTGGATTAGACAGGACACAGAGTATGCGTATGTCAAGCAAGGTGGGAAAAGAAAAGTAGACGACTTTGATGCGGTTATCATTAGACGTGAGATCTTAAAAATGTTCGAGACAAATGAACTTGTTCCTCTCCTGAAAATAACATCTCCTGAAATTAACACTGAAATCACAATGCAGTATTGACATTTCAAAAAATGTATAGGAGCCACCAGGTTCACTGTCAGGAAAACTGTAGATAAAAGGAATATTTTTTGTGAAAAACCACGTTTAATTGCTAATCGAAGCAAATACATGAGGCAGATCATGAGCGTCGGAGGCAAGACAATGATATTGTATTTTTGAATGAATCCTGGATTAATGCTCACCATACACATGCTAAAGAATGGCAATCAATACGCGATGAACAGGAAAAAAAAAACATTCTAAGAAGACAAGGCCATCGCATTATACTCACTTATGCAGGAAGAAAGTAGTGAAAATTGCCTTATCCATGATGCTGGACTTATTTTCCAATCAAAAAGTACGGATGGTAGGGACTACCACACTGAAATGAATAGAGATTTTTTTCAGGCACTGGATGGAGAATGATCTTCTTCCAGTTCTGGACAGACCATCATGCCTAGTAAAGGATAATGCCGCCTTTCGTAATGCCGTATCAGAGGAAGATAAAGTACCAAAGACATCAAAAAAAAAATATCAAATTAGAACATGGCTTGCAAATGAGAAAGTCAACTTTGACGACACATATTTGAAGGCAGAGTTGTTGCCTCTTGTGAGAAAAACAAATAAGACAAATGTATTTTACATTGACAAAATCATTATTGAATATGGCCACACTTCTCTGCAACTTCCTGCACATTATTGACACCCCAACCCGATAGAGCTTGTTTGGGCTAAAGTCAAAAGACAGGTTGCCGAAAACAAAAGTACATTTAAAATGTGTGATGTTGAAGTTCTGACACATGAGTCCCTCTCAACAATACATACATTTATTTCTGGAAAAAGTGTGTTGAACATGTGCTCCGAGAGGAAGACGAGGACTGGCACTGAAATGGATTACAATTTCTTAAGTCAGTAACAATTTTCAACATTTTGGGATCGTCAGATTCGGAACGATTAAAGCCGTTTTTTGATGAGTGGTTGAATATTATCAACTCGTCAGGTACATCCACAACTGCACTAAATACTTCTCCATATCCAAATCGCCAACCACAATACAATTTGTTGTACAGTAAAGATACACCCTGGGGTCTAATGGTGACCGAAGGGGAATGCTAACAGTTGCATGTTGGGGACAAGTTAACAATTGAACAAGGCAGACAGATTAACTGAATCTGCTTCACTGGGTGGTGAATTGATACAATACAAGGCAGATGTGGTCAAGGCCCACTGGAAACAAATAACGAAGTCAAAATAGAAAATATATTATCATGACCTGGAGAGAATGATAAACTTAGCTGCAACCAGAGGGCCTGACCGGTATACTACACTATGAGGAAAGGCAAGATGGACATATACTCAGACTGCCGCCGGTACCATTAGTATTGCAACTCTGCACTGGCTGCTGAAAATGAGGTTGGAGCGCATATGTGAATGCCCCAAATGCTGTTATGTCTTTATTGTCCCAGTTCAGCTCAGCTCCATTGAGCATAAATGACAACAAATAAATTTACTTCAGCTATCAATGTATTGAGAAGACATGTTTTGAAAAAAAAAAATAGAACCGGAAATTCAGATGTTTACTGTAAAATCTTAAATTTCACTTTACTTAATTACAGTGATTCAGAAAAACTAAAAAATTGGCTGATATTCCGCATCCTGGTCATCTATGGACTAAAGAATACCACCTTTTGGCGTCATAGATATTTTAAGGTTTCATGCATAAAATCTGTGCGATCTAACAAGCAGTTTTCGAAAAAAATGTCTTTCTTGCAAGTGTGTTTAACAATTGTTGAACGAACTATAGTGCATGAGTAGAGTTGGAAGTTTTAAAACGGCGGCGAGACTTCTGTAAGAGACGGTTTGTGACTGGTTGATTAAGAAGGCATCTATAAATTTCTTTCATTCCTTAGAATTTCTTTAATTCACCTTATTTAAATTAATGTTCATCAACTCCCTTTTGTATGTGCCCATTTATTTACCGTAACAGTATTTCAGATGCACGAACAGAAAAAAAAAATGAACCTGTCTCCACGTACATTTCTGTCTTCCCATTTCAAGAGTCTCGGGTTGGCTTCTGGGTCGCGAAGAAGTTCAAGCAGAAATTTCCACAACTGGTTTCCAGCTTTAGCAGCTGCGAACAAAACAAAAACAAATAAATAACAACATGTCTGGTCTCAGTCTCTGTTTTTTTTTTTTTTTGTCTGTGTGTGTAAGCTTTCTCCTATGGGATCGTCAAATTAGTTTCAAACTTAACTACTTTGATATAGAAATTTATTCACAAAAGAACACTAATTTCGGATACAAATTTGCATATACAAATGGAAAAATACGGTAACCCCACCCCCTCCCCCCTATTTCTCTCCCTCCCCATTTCTCTTCCCCCTTTTCTCTCTCTCTCTCTCTCTCTCTCTCTCTCTCTCTCTCTCTCTCTCTCTCTCTCTCTCTCTCTCTCTTTCTTTCTCTCTTCCCACAATCGGCTACTGCTTAGGAATTACAAAAGCCGTTGGTAATTCTTTCTCATACTGTTTGTGTTCCAACTGCATATTCATAAATAGGCAAGTGCCTGGTTGCGACATAACTGGCGATTTACCTTACCCAATAAAGCCTGTATACCCACTGGTTTGACTTCTGCTTAAATCAAAAAATGATCTAAAATTCTAGTGACAGCCCACTTTATGTTTTGAATAAGTGTGCGTGCAGGTGGAATTTTCATCGGCTGTTGCTGTTTAGCTTTTCTCAAGGGGCTGTGGTATGCATTGTCTGTGGTGTTGTCTGGCACAAGAGCAGAGAAATTAAGCTGGTGATCCCTTTGCCGCGAAGCTAGAAGCGTGACTGATAATCTGATAACCATGAAGCTTGAGGTGTAATGCTGACCACATCACCCACATAGTGCCGATTGGTCTGTAAAAATATGGGTGCTCTTCCCATATACCAGAAAAGGGATTATTAGCATGGCTCTGCGGAAGGATGACACACAAATTTGTGAAGCGTTCCGTATTTTTATCTTGTGCCGACTGGTCTATAAAAATATAGGTCTAGCCCTATATGTCCGATACGCCTAAAGGCGTGGAAAAGGGCCCTTTATTTTTTTTTTATTTTTGTTACATGAAGCTTTAATCAAACTGTACCTTACCAGCACTAAATTGCAAACGTTAAAGAAACTTTATCTCATATACATTAACTCGCACATCTCTAACTCAAATGTTTGTTTTCATTCAACGTCTTAAAAAGTAGAAAGCCTTAGCGATCATTAATTTTAGTCATTAACTAATCAGTTTAAGGTTTAAGGTTTGAGCAACTGATCAACATCATAGCACACGGGTAGTAACCCATTAGTGCCCCGTTCTTATTATAACTCAATTCTAAGTCAGAAGAAGCTCATCACAGTGCACAGGCTCTGTAGCACCGGCGAGGATCCTGAAATAGTTTTAGGTAGATTTTCAACTCCAAATTTTGCCTGGGCAGCATTGTTAGGCTACTATTTTCGATTTCCAAGGGATTTTTTACTTGCGCATAATGCACACGGGCGTCCGATCTCACTACCCAGAGACCAGGGAAAATTACTGGAAGTAAATAACAACTTAGTAGGGAGTCGGCAGTACGAAACCCAAGTTCAAGGTGTCTCCTTCGTGCCAAAGAACTGCATGGCTGTTGGGTGAACAGTCGTTAACGATAGCAGGCAGGTCGTTGTAGGGGCGACGCCTGCTGGTGGATGTAATGTCCTAAGTCCCTTCCCCAGCTAATAATGAGGGTACTGCTGGGGTGACCGTTTATTAACCCTCATATAATTCTTCCGGTCAAAATGGACGCTAGGTACGGCCACCCTTTTTTTTTTTTTTTTTAAAGCCGTGGCAAATATTTTTTTTTCCAGACGGTGGCCGTTGCATTTTTGCTCCATTTGTAGACTGGAAGGATGTAGTTTCGTCGCCCAGCTTCTGAGTTGAGTGCATGGCGTGACACTGTGAGCTGCGTTTGTTTTTCGTTGGCACAGGAGCGGAGCATATGTGGGGTGACCCGTTTGCTATGAAGCTGAAACTAGGATTACCAGATTACCAGATTACTGGAAGTCCAAGTCCACGTTCAAAAATCCCAGTCCTTACCGAGGATTTAACCCGGGACATCTAGCACTCGAGGCAGACACTATGCCTCGACACCTCGCGGCCACCTCATAAACTAAACATAAACTTACCAACAGCTGTTCTAACTCTTCTGCCCTCTCGCTGTACTGTGTTTTCATTCAGCCGTCTCTGTTGTGTGGAAGAATCATTAATTCCTTTAACGATGTTGTCACTGCAAAAGGCGTCTCCGCATTTTGGTGATCCCATGGGTGGCATGAATGATAGGCTGCACGAGGAGTCTGGGGGATAATGGGGGAAATACGCAAATATAAATATCAAGCACTAAGGTAATCACATAGACTTTTCTAGTGGCTAGTGATGGAAGTATATGGCTAGTGATGGAAGTATATGGCTAGTGATGGAAGTATATGGCTAGTGATGGAAGTATATGTAATTTTCTTCTTTGCTGCTCAGCTGTTGCTGGTTTTATAGTTATTCATCGACTGCCTTTTAAATCTCTCTGTGAGCCAGATATATGACAGATATATGACAGATATATGCCAGATATATGACAGATATATGACAGATATATGACAGATATATGACAGATATATGACAGATATATGACAGATATATGACAGATATATGACAGATATATGACAGATATATGACAGATATATGACAGATATATGACAGATATATGACAGATGATATATGACAGATATATGACAACGGGTTCAACAATATAAATGTTTTGTACTGTTAAATGAGATGCTTTGAATTTGCCCCTTTTGGAATCGGACCCCAAAACGTGACTCTGGGTCACTGAGTATCAGTCTCTCACACTGCAGTCCAGAGACAAAACGGTGGGAGGGAGGAGGGGGGGGGGAAATGGGGGAGGGAAAGCCTATACTCACGCAAGTCGCTTTATCCTTTGTAATTCCCTGCATGATCCCTCAGTCTCCTACGTATGGCTAAAATGCGTCTGTCCCAATGTTTGGATATAAGTACCTACATGCTAGTCTACCCCTTGTGCTGCCAGTAAACATTTACAAGATACAGCGAAATATGCCAGGCAACACATTGTGCAATCTATTGTTTGTATCTTCTTTGTTCAATCAGTGAAATAGTGACTGCTGGGCATTTACTGCTGTCTCTGGGGAAATTTTGATGATAAGAACCTATCTCTGTTATTACTTTTCAACTCTTACTACTGTCTGAGACTATGCGGCAAGTCTTTTTTGCACTAAGCCGCCCGAGGCGGAGGTCAAACCCTGGTATATCCTTCGAAGTCGGAGCTCATCTGCCTGAGAGGCTAGGTACCAACATGCGTAGAAATAAGTCAGATTCCTAAAACCCATGTGCATCCACATTTCAAGTTCTGGAACAGTACCAAAGTTCAGAAGTGTGCGAACAACCAGAACTTCTTCGCTGAGGTCTACAGCAGGTGAACGCGAAGAAAAAGAAGAAGAATCCTGGATTGTCGAGGATTAAACTCTTGAACGATTACAATGATCACTATGCAACAGAGCTGCACACAGCGAAGTATGGTAGCAAATAAACTGTGGAATCAGTTTTTATTTTCTGGGAGAGTGGGGTTTTTTTTTTTGGGGGGGGGGGGGGGGGGGGGGGAGGCTGTGTGTCTTCATTGCTAAATATACGACGTAGTATAGATATCAGAAATTGTTTCCAATGAATGTCTTACCGTCACTGGAGTATTCAAGATCAATGCTGTCTGTTGTAAGTTTCTGGACGTTTCCAGGTAAAGAACAAGGTGTGGAACGTGACAAATTCGTTGATGTTGTTGAAACAGATGGAAAGCCTTGCAACATTCGGAAATCAGCTGATCTTGATGAAGTGTTGGTGGACGGGGTTATTGTGTTCGGGAATGTTGCTGACGGAAACAGACCTTCTAGCTTGAGAAAAGCTCTTGCTGCAGTAACAGAGTCCTCAGCCGAAGACACAGACCACGGTGTCATTGTAGGCATAGTTGGCGAGTTTATAGGTTGCGAAACTCCAGAATGTTGCTTCAATGAAGTGGACGACTGAAAAGGCAAAGTGCTACAGTCGTACTCTGTGAAAGGAAGTTCGAATACCTGGCTTATGGGATACACTCCGAGACTTGGAAGATCGACTTTGATGTCATTGTCCGACCTCAAAACAGTGAGATCTGTTGAATACATAAATAAATGCAGCATTGTAAAACTGTTACAATTACTTCTATTCTAGAAGTACTGCCACTAAAACCACCACCACCACCACTACTGCTGCTACTTCTAATGCTGCTGTTGCTTCTACTACTACTACTACTGTATATTTATACTAATTCCTCTTATTATTAATATTATTATTATTATTATTATTATTATTATTATTCTACTACTACTACTACTACTACTACTACTACTACTACTACTACTACTACTACTACTACTACTACTGCTGCTGCTGCTGCTGCTGCTGCTGCTACTACTACTACTCCTTGATCAACCACCATTTAAAAACTGGAAGAGACCATTATATAAGACACTGGCAGTTTGGCAGCATGACTTGCTGTGGGGTTTGTACCAACCATGACTGGCATTAATATCAGATGACAAATCAACAAACGAGACCAATGACAAATATAACAGAGTTAACCAACTCATCAGGCAAATTTAACTAATAGTAGGAAACAAACATGTAGATAGCAAAAGAGGACTATATGACACAGTCTTCTTGCCAACCCTGTCCTTTCAATGCCAGACCTGGACAAAGGAAACAGAAACTTTGCGACACCTGAAACAAGATTCTCTCTCTCTCTCTCTCTCTCTCTCTCTCTCTCTCTCTCTCTCTCTCTCTCTCTCTCTCACTCTCTTGTTGTACCCCACCAGGACATCACACAAGGGGTAAACACCCGCTGACACAAAGTGCCACCATGCGAATGAGGATCGCCCGTGGAGAGGTCCTAGAAACCCTTTTCAGCCGTTAGGCCATATCTATTGCCCGGCTATATTCAGGGCTCCCGGCAAAAGCCATGGTGGGACTTTAAAAAACTAAAAATTGCATACCACGTGGGGACGACTAGCTTTCTTTATGAAATGAGATTCCTACTGTAACAGGTTGGAAACTTACTGTTTAGCAGCTCAACGATTTTATTTAATCTGGTTTTAAAATGACCAAGAGGCCACAGGAACAGCTTTTAGTCTTAGGTTGTTGTTGCGTATCCTTTACAGGACGTTGCAGAACCAATCCCAACAGCCCCTGTCTGTTGCGTGGGTTTTCTAGGTAAATTGCGTCCAGTAGTTTGCCATTACTGCTAGACGGTCGGCTTTCTTGATACCACTGTCGAAACCAACGCAAGGCGTATGGACTGAAGCTGGGATCGAACCCAGCATCCCGGCATTACTAAGCGTTCGCATCGACTAAGCCACAGAGCCGACTTTTAGTCTTAGACTGGGTATAAATATCCCATTCAGTATTCCCGATTTAGACGTCCGGACGCACCCTGTGGAGACCTACCCGGCTGTTGTAACCTTGCAGTGGAGGCTGAACAGCGTGGGTGGGCGACTACAGGAGAAGGCCGTTGTCTGACTAATTTCCCTGGCTGATCTCACGGTACGTTTAAATTGGTTAGGTGGTAGTCCGGGAGTCGTCTAGGTGTGTGTACCCATGTAGTTTAGGTCGTCGTCATGTATATAGACATCCATAGTTTGGGTATCAGTGAAATATTCTAGGATCTCTGCGCAGAAGAACCCCTGTTTTTTCTTTACTTTCCTGTTTTTGTTCTTTAGCGGGGAACTATCACATTTTTGCTAATCACAACGGACAGTTCTTATCCGATATCCGTACTGGTGGAAGAGTGCTTATGGTTTATAACCGTGTGCAATGAGTTCACATCTCCCGACTTTAACTTTTACTGCAAGGTATAAGAGGAGCAAGATAAGATGTAATGAGATTGTCAGCATTACATGTGACAGATGGCTTTGGGAAAATCTGACGAACGACCCTACGCGGCGTAGACTTTTCAAATATCGTATATTTGATAAATGTGCAAAAACTCACCTTCTAAAATTAAGGGGAAAACATGCATTTCCACAAACTACAACGTTGCTTCAAACGAGTGGTTAAGTAAACACATATTTCTTACCAGGTGTGTAGCAAGTGTGGCTGTTGTCACAGATATCAGTAACTTGACGCCCCAGATATCCCTCCTCATTTGTATTAATATTGTTGTTCTCATCAATTCGACACTGTGTCGTGAAGTTCTTGTTAAACATCACAGGAACGTTGTGGCCACCGTTAAGTCTACACATCTCATTCTTAACGGACTCTGCAGTGAAACAAGATTACAAATCAGATTATTTTTGGGCATTTACGACTGTTCAAGAGCAAACGATTTAAAAACTGTGATTCCCAACCCTAGAGCGGCTAACCCAATTCAGATTTGCCAGCAGTAGGTTTTTCTTAACTTCTATCTGCTGATGCAACATGGAAAAATAAGAAAATAAATGATTTTTTTCCCCACGCCTTCGAGGGTGTTTGGCAAAGATTAAATGTTGAATTAGGAATCGACATCACAGCACTCGGGACACTCACATAAGCGCCTCGTCTCCATCTATAGCTACAAGCGAAGAGTTCCAATTCCGATAGCACCAGAAACTGTCTGACTGTGTATCCGTCTTGCCTTTCACTTGAGTGCTGAGCGTCGGCCAGATCCTCTGGTGATACCTCGCAGCGCCATTCTACTCAGACCGTAAAGATCTGTTTGCGCCCCTGCACTGTTTACTCGCACCCAGCATATAGGCAGCAATGGCCATAATAGTGATAGACTTACATAATAGTGAGGGTACTGCTGGGGTGACCATTTGTTAACCCCTCACATAATGCTTCAAGTCACAGTGGACACTAGGCACGACCACTTTTTTTTTTTTTTAAAGCCGTGGCAGTTCTGCCAGCCGGTGGCCGTTGCATTTTTGCTCCATTTGTAGACTGGAAGGATATAGTTTAGTCACCCAGCTTCTGAGTTGAGTGCATGGTGTGACACTGTGAGCTACGAGTGTTTTTCGTTGGCACAGGAGCGGAGCAACAATGGGGTGACCCGTTTGCTATGATGCTGAAACTAGGATTACCAGATTACCAGACTTACATTAGACCAATTAGCACTCGGTGGTTGTTGTGGTTAATATCACACCGGCCACCTTTACTTTCCATAACTTTAACAACAAACTAGTTGGTATCAATTCGCTCTTCTTCTTCTGTTTCTTCTTCTTCTTCTTCTTCTTCTTCTTCTTCTTCTTCTTCTTCTTCTTCTTCTTCTTCTTCTTCTTCTTCTTCTTCTTCTTCTTCTTCTTCTTCTTTTCTTCTTCTTCTTCTTCTTCTTCTTCTTCTTCTTCTTCTTCTTCTTCTTCTTCTTCTTCTTCTTCTTCTTCTTCTTCTTCTTCTTCTTCTTCTTCTTCTTCTTCTTCTTCGTAGCATTCACTGGTTGTAAACTGCGGCAAAAATTGCTGGTTATTGGTTCCATTCTGAACGACTTTGTTTGTTATTGTAAACTTGAGTTCATCGTGCACGCCCATTTCACAGATCTGACTTATTTATTTGCAGAATGTTGGTTCCTTGACTTTCAGGTAGATGTCCTCAACTCTAAAGGAAACAACCCTAATTATTTACCTTCACAACATTCTTTTTTATGGGTGGTGGTAGGGGGAATGGAGAGTGGCTTGGGTCTGCTCTTTGTTCTCCAAAATGGAACTCTGAAACCCAAACAAGGAAGTCTCTGTTCAATGTCTTACGAAGTTCTCTTACCTTGCCGGAGGAGGCATTGAAAGCTGTCATAGATTATGTTCCCATGGCAAGGGTCCACTTTCAGAAACTGATCTTTGCTCATCACACACAAATCACAACCAGCCAAGTCTCGATAAGCTTCCCCTTTAAACTTTGAACCATCCAGTTGTTCCTAACAAAAAACCAATTCAAATCAATGAATAATATAAAGTCAGAAGCTGTTTGTCACCGATATACTTGTGCGATACAAATACTACATTATTACAACACAAACTACTATTAGGAATCACAAACAAGAGCGGGTAAAAAAGTGATATGATACAAAAGAACGCTTTTTACAAAAGTCTTTATCAGTGAATAGAAGAACAACAGTCGTAACGTGAAGCAACAACCGAGAAAGTTACATATAAAATAGAAAAAAAGATCAGAGCTGCGAAATTTAAGAAAACAAGAAGAGTTGCTGGGAAACGAAACATATAAATATTTTTTGCAGAAACTGTAAGTAATTTCATCATCACGTCGCTCTCACCACAGTCTGCCTGTAAGAAACTCTGCCTCACGCCAGTTCTCCCGCCTCATGAACTTTCACACTCAAGGGGTCACTTATATCCTGTGCCCATCTTCGTGTCGGTCGGCCCCTGCCCCTCCTTCCTGGTACCATGCCTTCTGCTATAATTTTTTTCCAATCCGTCGTAGCGCTTGATAAAGAAAGGATACTGTTTATTAGCCAATTTTCCTTGACGTTCAGATCTTTTAAGATGTCAAAATTTCTCCTCTTCTTTGTCCAAGATATTCTGAGAATCTTTCTTAAGCATTTCAGCTCAAAAGCCCATAATCTCTTTCTTAAGGACTGAGAGAAAATCCACGACTCACATCCGTATGTAGCCAAAGGGAAGATGAATGCTCTCAAAATTCTAATTGTTATCTCCTTGCTGGTGCTTAACCGTAGACTTTTAAGGCTGTTCAATCTTTGCACTGCTATGGGCATCCTCCTTTTAATTTCTGTCGAAGTCTCCATTGTTGTTTATTATAGAGCCTAGATATTCAAAGTTTGCGACATTTTCGATTTCTTCATCATTTATTGTTATTTTTGGGTGAAAGCCAGTTTTATCTGTGGACAGTTTTTTCGTTTTCTTTAAATTCAAGAAAAGATTTTGATCATCACTGTGCTTTTGGACAGACAATACTAAATTTTCTATTTCCTTTACGCTGTTTGAAAGGAGGACTGTGTCATCTGCGTAGCGGAGTTTCGCAATAGGGTTGCCACCAATTTTGAGCCGATCATAATTGTCACAAGTCTGGTCATTTTTGACATTTTTCATTATATTTTCTGAAAATATATTTTATATTGAATAGGTATGGTGAGAGAATGCACCCCTGCCTCACCCCCTTTTGCACCTCGAACCAATCAGATGTTTCACCAGCTGCTCTGATGTCTGCTTGTTGTTCATGATAAAGTAATTTACCGTGTTTAATATTACAATTTATTCACTTCCTTTTATTGCAGTAGGGTAACAGTAAGGCTAATTTTTAAGTAAAAAATACACGTTACCTGCTCAACAAGATAATAGATCCAGTCCAGAACATCCTTCTTTGTCCATCCTTGAGGCCGTTTTCTTGTCCAGTCGGTCAAGGTTGAAGCCCTCACGTCGTCAAGGTCTGGAGAGAAGGAGTGACATCAGGTAACAATTTATATAGTGAAACATTTATGTCACTTGATTATTTTTGATGAACGGAGGGAATAAAGTGGTTTGACGAAGTAACTAATGTAAAGATTTATGAGAGAACAAAACAAATTAGTAGTAGTACATTTTACCCCACCATGACATCACGCAAGTGATAAACCCCTGGGGACACAAAGTGCTACCATGCGGATGAGGATCACCCGTGGAGAGGTTTCTGGAAACCCCGTTCAGTCGTTGGGCCATATTTAAGGCCCGGCTTTGTTTAGGGCCCCTGGCAAAAACCAGGATGGGGCTTCAGAATAACTAAAAATTGAATCCCACAAGGGGATGACAAGTGTAATTTCAGTGGAATCAAACCAGGAAGATGCTGATGGCGTTTCAAAAGCTGTTTTAATATTAGCCTATAGTTCTTTGATTGAGTTTAACCCTACCATGGCATCACATCGAGCGAAAAACACTTGGTGACGCAAAGTGCCACTATTCAGATGAGGATCATCTGGGGACAGATCCCAGAAACCCTTTTCAACCCAAAGGGGTTACATTAAGGCCCCGGCAACAGCCGAGGTGAGGTTTTGAAATAATGAAAAATTGTGACCCATGTTTGGACGGCTTTGGCTTGAAGTGATGCCTAATCCACACTCTTAACATTGATTTCATTTAAAGTGAAACCTACAAATGTAAATTGCGCACTACTAAATAATTAAACATTGCATTTTGGTTATTCTGAGCTGCGATAATTAATTACACTACACTGCACTTCACTACACTGCACTACACAACACTACACTACACTACACTATCTCCCGTGTGTCATCGGAGCCCTCACGGGAAGCTAAGAATAGTGACACTGCACCCTACCAGGCATGTCGTGAGAGGCGACTAAGGGTAAAGTTGGGCTTGAGGTTGGCTACCTTATCCTGTAAAAATAATAGCCACAAAAACCAACCAACCATGGATAAGTTAAAAAAGGAAGCAAGTAAAACCCAGCCAACCAAGATGAGGGGAGGCTCTTCAAATAGAAGAAGTATGACACGGTGTGGAGAAAGTCGAAAGGAATCTGGATCGTTAAATAACTCCTTTCAGCTAGAAAAACCTCCAGATTTGGCACCTGAAATGTTAGAACTCTCTATGATATAGGGAGAACAATGGAAGTAGTAAGGAAAATGAAACATTATAGAATTAGTATTTTAAGGTTATGTGAAACTAGATGGACTGGGGCGGGGAAAAGTATTTTAAATTTAGGGGAAACTATTTTGTTCTCAGGACACACAGAGGAAAATTCGCCCCATGTACAGGAATGGCCCTGATGCTATTTAAAGAATAAGACAGGGCCCTAATAGAATTGGAAAATGTGAGTCCCAGAACAATAAGAGCGTCATTTAGAACAGCGAAACAGAAGGTCAACATGTTGGTAATACAGTGATACGCACCAATAAATTTCAAAAATGCATCTGTTAAGGAAGAATTGTATATGCAGCTTCAAAATATTAGAAATAATGAAAGAAAGGGCAATATAGAAATTGTGATCGGTGACCTGAGTGCTAGGATATGATCAAATAACACAGGTTATGAAGAGATTATGGGAAGACATGGTCTAGAAGTAATGAATGAAAATGGAGAATGGTTCACAAATTTTTTAGCAGAAAACCAGTATGTTTTTGGTGAAAGTATTTTTTCCCCCAAAAAAAGAATACATAGGCAACATGGGAATCACCACCAATCAAATTATTCACCTGTGTATCAACAAAAAAGTCTAGATCATCCCTTTATGATGTAAGGGCTTTCAGAGGTGCCGATGTATTTACAGACCATTTTCTGGTGGTGAGTAAAATGAAGTTGAAATTTAAAAGATATTTAACATCTTATAATCATAGAAACCAGTATAATGTGGGTTATATAAGGGATAAAAAAGAAACAATTTTCAGTAATAGTCTCTAATAAGTACCAGGTTCTGCAGCAGTTAGCTGAAGATGGCAGCACAGAAGTCTGCTGGTATCAGATCAAATGAATCTAGTAGGAATCTTGTGTAGAAGTTCTTGAAAAAAAAAGAACGGAAACATAAAGCGTGGAAAACACCAGAAAGCATTAAATTGATCGAAGAAGGGAAAAGTAGAAAGGGAAAAGTAGAAAGGCAGACTTAAACAGTAGCAAAATTAGAGTCGATAAAGCTTAGGATAAATACACAGAAGCCAATAAGGAAGTTAGGAGGCGTATAAGAGCAAGTGAAATATTTAAATGATCTAGCACCAGCAGCGGAGACAGCACCAACAAAGAGAAACCTCAGAGAACTTTACAGTAACACAAGAAAATTAGTAGGTAAATATAGTCAGCCAACTGAATCAATCAAAAATAGTCAAGGAAAGGTACTTACTAACACTAAGGATCAAATGAACGGGTGGGCTGAATATTTTGAAATGCTTCTAAAAAGGACAGACCCGGAGGTTCCTCCAGATATCCAGCCTTTAGAAATGGAACTGGATATCAACTGTGAGAGACCATCTAAAGAGGAAATTAGAAAAGCTATCAATCTTCTTAAGGAAGGAAAGGTGGCATTTCCAGATGGTATAGCAGCAGAAGCAATTGGGCCAACATAAACATAACAACGAAATAGCTAAATAGATTTTTCAGTAAAGTCTGGGAGACCGAAGAAATACCAGCAGACTGGAGAGAAGGGTATCTTGTGAAACTGCCCAAAAAGATAATCTACAGGAGTGTGAAAACTATAAAGGAACTATGTCGCTGACAGTTCCTGGAAAAATAATAGGTATAATTATTTTGGAAAGATTAAAAGATGCTGTTGAAAAAAGCTAAGAGATAAACAGGCAGGTTTTCGGCCAAACAGATCGTGTACTGACCAGATAGCCATATTACGCATTAAAATAGAGCAAAGCATTGAACTGAAGTCACCAATTTACATTGATAAATTATGAAAAAGCATTTGACAGCATTGATAGGGAATCTTTCTGGAAATTGATAGGGCACTATGGAATCCCACAGAAAATTATTAACTTAGTAAAGGCAACATATAAGGATATGAAATGTCGAGTTTTTCAAGAAGGAAAGTTAACAGATGCATTTGAAATAAAAATAGGTGCCCCTCTCCTAATTTTACTGGCTATAGACTGGATTATGAATACAGTAACTGCTAACAAAAAGAATGGAATTCAGTGGACCCCTAAAAAAACAGCTTGAGGATCTGGATTTCGCTGATGATATTTCTCTTCTGTCCCATTCACGGAATCAGATGCAAGATAAATTAAATATACTAGATGCGAGATCACAACAGCTATGTCTGAAAATCCATAAAAGAAAGACAAAGATAATGAGAATAAATCAGGAAAATAGTAATGTGGTTTCTCTTAATGGCACCCCACTCCAAGACGTGGAGTCGTACACCTATTTAGGCAGTAATGTAGATACAGATGTGGGAACTTATAGAGATGGAAAAAAAAATACAAAAGACAAGAGGAGCTTTCATAGCACTAGGGAATTTTTGAAGGTAAAAAAAAATTAAAAGAAATACTAAACTTAAAATTTTAAATTCTAATGTCAAATCAGTACTATTGTATGGGGCGGAAACATGGAGAACAACTAAGACAATTACTAATAAATTACAGACATTCATTAACTGGTGCCTGCGCAGAATAGAAGGAATTAAATGGTATGATAGAATAACTAATGTAGAGCTTTGGGAGAGAACTTAGCAAGCTGTAGTGGACCAAGAGGAGAGGAAAAGACACTGACGTTGGATATAATACACATTGAGAAAACCGGAGAACAGCATAACTAGAATGTCTTTGCATTGGAACCCACAGGGGCAAAGGAATAAAGGAAGGCCAAAAACACACGGAGAAGAGAGCTCGAGAATGAAGTTAGAAAGATGGGGAGGACATGGGGAGAGCTCCATGCAATAGCAAAGGATAGAACGACTTAGCGTGAGTTGGTTGAGGGCCTATGCTCCATTTGGGGATAGAAAGGCAGAAGAAGAAGACACTACAGTACACCACACACACACACACACACACACACACACACACGTGCGCGCACGCACGCACACATACACACACATACACACGAGGTGACGTCCTTATGTAAAGGTAAGTGCTTTAAAAAATTTTCTTTTTAAAACTGGCATATGGAAAACAAATTTGTTCTGTGTCCAGTTTCCCGACAGTCTCCCTGCTTTGCAACACACGTAGTCCCCCAATCCACAGGATTGTCGATGCCCGCCAGATTGAAGCTTCTGTGTGTGGCCAGGAACCAGGTTTGCACCTCTGACATCGCCACACTGTCATCTGCAAATCTCTCACCCTGAAAATGTTCTTTCAATGTTTCAAACAAATGAAAATCCCATCGTGCCAAGTCTGAGCTGTCTGCTGGATGTGTCAATTCTTCAAACCGCAGAGTCTGTAGTGTGACCACTGTATGCAGTGTCGTGAATCAGCAGGCGTTGTCATTGTCATAAAAGACAATCGGTCTTTACAGGAGTGGGATAGAATTTTTTTTTTTTTTTTAAACCATTACTTCTTAACTCAGGAATGGGGAAAAAAAAAAAAAAAAACTGCTGAAATGTCTCTTTTATAATTTGATTTATGGGATTGTCCCAGTGTATTATTTTATAAGCAGACGACAATTCCTGTTGTGGGAACTGAATGGTAGGTGGGACCCACTGAAATCGAACATTTTGACACCTAGGAAATATCTAGTTAAAGACCAGCCCCTAATCTATATAGCTCTCATCTGTCTTTTACAGAAAAGATGAAGAAACATTTTGTGTAGAACCACAGTACATAGTTGAAGTTAAAAATAATAAGAATGTTAATATTGTAACATTTATTGTTAAGATCGTCGAACTGACTCTAACCTATGTTTACAAGGACAGATAATAGTAAACATTTACTAAATTCGCACAGTTAACATATACAATTCAACGATCACTAACCTGACTTGTTTGTCATACACAAATCATTAAAGCCTGAAATGTTCGGTAACATGTTTATACAACCCCTGTTACTGTGATTGTTGTCCCTGGCTGAAAAAGTGTTGTCTCTGGCGGTACTGAACTGGAAATCAAAAACCCGGATATTACCATTTGACGGTTATACAGTCTTTTATGTTGGATTTTTATTTGCGTGTTTTACAACGATTGGCTGGTGAAAACTACAGAACAAAATGGAACTCTGCTATACTGTGTAAGAGCTATCTTTAGAGAAAGTGAAAGCGTCGGCAGAACAAGTGCCGACCCGAAAGATTGGTTCCCAGTAAAATAAGTAGTAAGACAAGGATGTGTACTGTCACCTCTATTTTTTATTACGGACAATATCATCCCCATGGACATAATAAACCATGAATCGACTAACAAGAAGACCAATGAGCTCGCTGACCGGGTTCCAGTGGCCAATTTAGGATGGGGATTTAGGGGGGGGGGAGGGGGGGGGGTGGACAGACTGTCCTGCTTTCCATGTATTATTATCTATATAGAATTGCACAGACAAAAACAAGTAATTAAGATGCCTTCACATAAACTGACTCAGAGATTACTTCTTCTTCTATCTTCTTCTTCTTCTTCTTCTCCTCTTCCACCTTGTACCACAGCGAAGTGTGTGTGTGTGTGTGGGGGGGGGGATCTAACGTACGTTGAAGAGCTATGTCAAGAGAACTACTAAGACTGATGTTCATTTCTGTAAGGCTGTTATTAATGCTGTTACTCTAAATTTTCCGAGGTCTTCCACTCGCTCTATACCCGTTGTAACGTTTAGTATGGTTCGCTGTAGCAGGTAGTACCAGGGCATTCTTGTTAGGGGTCCAAACTATTTCATTTGTTGTTCTTTGATGACTTGTAAGACTGACTTTATTCCAAGCATTCGTCTGGTTTCGTGATTTCGTATTTTTTCTGTCCTTGAAACTCCTGCAGCCCTTCTACGGCATTTCATCTCTTTTGTTCGAAGAATACTGACTGCACGAATTAGACAGAGAGAGAGAGAGAGAGAGAGAGAGAGAGGGAGAGAGAGAGAGAGAGAGAGAGAGAGAGAGAGAGAGAGAGAGAGAGAGTCTGCATTCTTTCCTCATGTCATGAGAAGAAGAAAACTGGAGTCCATCGTGATGATAGGATAGTTAGAGGGAAAAGAGAGCGAGAGACCGAGAGAGAAGAAGCTGGACAATTTGACATAGTGGCATGAAAACTAATCTCTTTCAGAACTGATTGAAATTACACAAACGCCATAGAGCTTGGACTTTAGGAAGAATAAGAAAAACCTCATTTTACACAGTTTTAGGAAATATGATATAGTTATCCATGACAGAGTAATGAATGGCCTAGATGAAAAGGTCAATGTAATGGTTTTATCAATTAATAACATAGGTTATGTAAAGACTGGGGGAAGTGGAAAAAAAAAGGGGGGGGGGGGGTGGGGTCTGTGTTGTTGTCGGAAACAGAACATGTAACCCAAAAAATATTTCAGTGAAGAACCAACTGCAATATCCAATTTGTTTAGTGTGAATGTATTCTTTAAATCTGACTGTGGCTTTTCTTGTTGTCATTTTACTTTAGCTGCTTTTTAAAAATTTTTATTTTAAATTGGCAGATTAGCCAATTTGAACTGTATTATTAACACTGAAATGAATTTTCCAGCAACTTACCATATGCATCTGATAGCTGGGCGGTTGCCTAAACTGAAGAGCCATGGCTTACAGTTGCCTGTGCCTTCCGTGTTCTTGTAATCTGATAGCGAAATAGAAGAGACAGGCTTTTCAAGAAATAAAAAATGAATACAGAATTTGGCACCATTTAGTAAGTCTGTGTGTCAAGGACACTCTGAAAAAGAACAATTGCAACACGCATTTATAACTGGATCTCAGCATTTCTTCATCTTCTTCTTTTCTTCTGCCTTCTATCCCCCAGTGGAGTAAAGATTCTCAACCAACTCACGCCAAGTCGTTCTATTCTTTGCTTTTGCATGCAGTTCCCCCATGTCCTACTCATCTAACTTCACTCTCTGGCTCCCTTCTCCGTGTGTTTTTTGGGTCTGTTTATATTTATATGCCCCTGTGGCTTGCATGCAATGACATTCTAATTATATTGCTCTCAGATGTCCTCCGCGTGTTTTCTATCCAACACCAGCGTTGTTTCTTCACCTCTTAGTCCACTGAACGTTTACATTTCTTCAAAAGCTCAACATTAGTGATTCTGTCATACCATTCAAATCCCTCTATTGTGCGCAGGTAACAGTTAATGAATTTTAAAAAAAGGTTTTTAGTAATTGTTTCAGCTGTTCTCCATGTTTCCGCTTCATACCGCATTACTAATCTGACATCAGAGCGAAACATTTCAACAGACCACATTACTAATCTGACATCAGAGCGAAACATTTCAACAGACCACATTACTAATCTGACATCAGAGCGAAACATTTCAACAGACCACATTACTAATCTGACATCAGAGCGAAACATTTCAACAGACCACATTAATAATCTGACATCAGAGCGAAACATTTCAACAGACCACATTACTAATCTGACATCAGAGCGAAACATTTCAACAGACCACATTACTAATCTGACATCAGAGCGAAACATTTCAACAGACCACATTACTAATCTGACATCAGAGCGAAACATTTCAACAGACCACATTACTAATCTGACATCAGAGCGAAACATTTCAACAGACCACATTACTAATCTGACATCAGAGCGAAAACATTTCAACAGACCACATTACTAATCTGACATCAGAGCGAAAACATTTCAACAGACCACATTACTAATCTGACATCAGAGCGAAACATTTCAACAGACCACATTACTAATCTGACATCAGAGCGAAACATTTCAACAGACCACATTACTAATCTGACATCAGAGCGAAACATTTCAACAGACCACATTACTAATCTGACATCAGAGCGAAACATTTCAACAGACCACATTACTAATCTGACATCAGAGTGAAACATTTCAACATACCACATTACTAATCTGACATCAGAGCGAAACATTTCAAGTTTAGTATTACTTTCAATTTTTTTTCTCGACCTCCACAAATTTAAAGACTTTGACAGCTCCTTTTAATATTTCCTGAAGTTCTCTACCCGCTGCCACCCCCCCCCACCCCCCCCCCCCCCCCGATCTTCATCTACATTATTACCCACATAGGCGTATGACTCCAGTGTATGGCTTCAGTGTATGGCTTCAGTGTATGGCTTCAGTGTATGGCTTCAGTGTATGGCTTCAGTGTATGGCTTCAGTGTATGGCTTCAGTGTATGGCTTCAGTGTATGGCTTCAGTGTATGACTCCAGTGTATGGCTTCAGAATATGACTCCAGTGTGTGACCTCAGTGAATGATTCCAATTTATGTCTCCAGTGTATGATTCCAATGTATGACTCCAGTGTATGACTCCAGTGTATGACTCCAATGTATGACTCCAGTGTATGACTCCAGTGAATGACTCTAATGTATGACTACAATGTATGAATCCTGTGTATGACTCCAGTGTATGACTCCAATGTATGACTCCAATGTATGACTCCAATGTATGACTCCAGTGTATGACTCCAATGCATGACTCCAATGTATTACTCCATTGCATGACTCCAGTGTATGACTCCAGTTCATGACTCCAATGTATGGCTCCAATGTATGACTCCAGTTTATGGCTTCAGAATATGACTCCAGAGTTTGACTCCAATGTATAACTCCAATGTATGACTCCAGTGAATGACTGCCTCCAGGGTATGAATCCAGTGTATGACTCTAGTGTATGACAACAGTGTGTGACTTCAGTGTATGACTTCAATGTATGTCTCCTATGTATGACTCTAGTGTATGACTCCAGTGTAGGACTTCAATGTATGACTCCAATGTATGACTCCATGTCGTGAAATGATAAGCCATTACGCATCAGTCTGTAAGACTGGTAACCTAACTTACCTGTAATCGGCACTAAATTCAAACTTGGACTCGCCCGGAAAGATATAGTCCCTTATATCTATATATATAGGCCTTTATTGGACAACATTATTATGTCTACATTTTCTGGTTGCTTTAACTAAACTCCACTTTTAAATGTATATATCTTCGATATATATTAGAGGAGTTATTTGAGGTTTCTTAGAAACCGATGTACACCTTGCCTATGTATACTAGGGACTTCTTTTTCTATCAACGCCTGAAGTGCGTAAGTGACGCTATTCTTTCTTGCCGGTTCCAAGCGTCCAGACGTGTCAATCTATGCCTGTATAATTTCAATTTCACAAGGCGATCTGGAATGTCTCAGTTTTTGCATATGCTTGGGATAAATCCTTTGTGAGGAGCTGGCAGAAGTTTCACAGTCCAACCAACACCCACCAACCATAAATAAACCATAAACCAACTACCCACCAGCTGACACCTGTGAAGGTTCCTGACTTCATCAATATGTGGGAGCTTAGAACGCAAACAGCCTACCAGTGCTAGAGCTTAGTGGAGCTCAAAGACATTGTGTGTCCTAACTGGTGATAGAGACTTGCTAAGTACCAGTACAGTGCTGTGTCCTCTATGGTGAGGTACTATCTTACCACTTGATCCAGTGGAGCAGAATTCCCAGAGTCAAAGACAGTCGAATCATCCGGAGCTAAGGGAATCATCATAGACAGAAAGAAGAGAAGCTAAGTTTGATGCCTGATTTGCTTTGTGCCTCACAGCTCCTATGTTTCCCAATGATGACAAGATGTCATCTCCAGGACCTTCTGTCTGTGTAGTATCTTTGTGATTTTGACATGATATCCTGAGATCTAGCCTAGGAGATCTGGCATTTGTCTCACTTTTATATATCTATTTTATATTGATTACATGCATTCATTTTCATGGCTGACTTAGGTGTCTCTATTTCACCTTTTTAAGTGTTTAGCAGTTGTGTATGTATGTATCTTCATTATATGTGTTAACATGGTTATGATAATGAACTATCATAACCTGGGGGCTTTCTTTAGTAAGTAGTGGGGGTGTCCAGCCAAGTGGCCCTATAAATATTGTATTCATATACTGACATATTTTGTAGTGCCAATACTTGAGTTGCCCTACTCGAGAGATAAGTTGAGCGTATATTGGCCACGGGGAATCCCTTAGACCAATACGAGCCAAACGACTCAACATAATTATCTCTGAGTGCTGTTGGTTCGGAAGGAGAAATCCTTACATTAGGCACGCGACAGGAGTGATATGTGACACTCCAATGTATGACTCCAGTATTTGACTCTAGTGTATGACTCCAGTGTATGACTCCAGTGTATGACTCCACTGTATGACTCCAGTGTATGACTGCAGTTTATGGCTCCAGTGTATGACTGCAGTTTATGGCTCCAGTTCATGGCTCCAATGTATGACTCCAATGTATGACTCCAGTGTATGACTCCAAGGTATGACTCTAGTGTTTGGCTTCAGAGTATCACTGCAGTGTATGACTCCAGTGTATGACTCCAATGTATGACTACAATGTATGACTCCTGTGTATACCTCAAATGTATAACTTCAGTGTATGACTCAAGTGTATGACTCCAGTGTTTGACTCCAATGTATGACTTCAATATATGACTCCAATGTATGACTACAGTGTATGACTCAAGTGTAGGACTCCAATGTATGACTCCGATGTATGTCTCCAATATATGACTCCAGTGTATGACTCTAGTGTATGACTCCAGTGTATGACTCCAGTGTATGACTCCAGTGTATGGCTCCACTGTATGACTCCAGCGTATCGCTCTAGTGTATGGTTTCAATGTATCACTCCAGTGTTTTACTCCAGTGTATCACTCCAGCGTATGACTCTAGTGTATGACTCCAATGTATGACTTCAGTGTATGACTCTAGTGTATGACTCCAATGTATGACTTCAGTGTATGACTCTAGTGTATGACTCCAATGTATGACTTCAGTGTATGACTCCAGTGTTGACTCCAATGTATGACTTCAGTGTATGACTCTAGTGTATGACTCCAATGTATGACTTCAATGTATGACTCCAGTGTATGACTCTAATTTATGACTCCAGTTTATGACTCTAATGTATGACTCCAATGTATGACTTCAGTGTATGACTTTAATGTATGACTTTAGTTTATGACTCCAGTGTATGACTCAAGTGTATGACTCCAATGTATGACTTTAGTGTATGACTCCAGTGTATGACTCTAATGTATGACTTCAGAGTATGGCTTCAGTGTATTACTCCAGTGCATGACTCCAATGTATGACTCCCTAATTTCGGTTTTTAGTAAAGCAAAATGAATAGAGGTCTTTTTAAAATAGCGGGGGGGGGGGGGGGGGGTGGTCATAACATTGCTACATAACACGTATAAACATGGGGCAGTTCTCAAAAAGTAAAAGCTTTTGCACTAATAACACGTTTATCGTAACCTGCCTGTGTGCATTGAATCATTGCACGCAGTGTAAGGTTTGAGGTTTGAACATCGGATCAACTTTATGGCACACGGGTAGTAACCTACAAGTGCTCCATTTTTTGTCTATCTCAAGCCTGAGTCCGAAGAAGCTTAGCACAGTGCACAGTATCTGTAGCACCGGCGAGGATTCTGAAATACTTTGGTTAGATTTTGAACTCTTATCTTTTCGATTTCCAGCTGCCAATGGATTTTTTAAGAGCTCAACAATACAAACGGGCGTCCGAATTTACTACCTAGAGAC